CGGTGGCATGTTTCTATTGTAGGCTCCAGATATTGCGTGCACTGTTTTACGTGACCCGGCGGGGCAATAAGAAGCATGAGTGCCGCCACGCGTTGTTTGCATTTAGTTTTTGCATTTGAGCCTTCCATCCGGCTGTACACCCACCAATGTCAATTTTTTTCTGTCGCAGGCACACCTATCAGATTTACAATCAGTTTACTTCTTATTTTCCAACATCTAGAAATATTTTAGTAGGTACTTCATTTCGACTTCACCCTCACCCTGTATACTGTATGTCTAAACCCTATTTATCGCTTCCCATATTTCATTTCAGCTCCACATTTAATCCTAGTCATGCACTAACGAACGGGTAAGCAAGGGTGTTTTCGAAAATTGGGGGCCTTGAAGTATTTTTCTTTTTTCTGAGTTATTATGTATAATGAACCTACTTTTCTTATCCGACGCCTTAATTAGGTTGTGTCATCTTTAAAGTAGTGTGTGTACGTACATCTTACTAATTGTCAATATGAATAAAAAAACTTGAGACGAAGCTAATCATTTTTTTTTTTGAAAAAAAAAATGCTTTTTTAACGAATTTGAAAAGCCCAACTGCATCGGTTTGAGCATCTATCAATCATTTTCACAGTCTTCTTTATACCTTGTCGAAATAATTGACCGAGAAACTTTGGTACTTGTAATAACTATGTTTATGACATTTCATAATTCCTCTTGGAACATCTGCTTCGGGTCGTACCAACCATACTCGAACAAAAAGTTGGTGGTGTGCAAACATCTGTAGGGTTCCGCGAACATCTGGCTTACTTGTGTCTGTCAGTAACATGCATCGCCCCCCTCGATGTATTTATGTGCGTCCACATTTCTTAGCCATATCAAAATTGCCCACTGTTCGATTTCAATATTCACAGAAGGAAAACTTATATAATATAAGGTAATTAATCACGAATATTGTAATTTATGTCATGCGTCACAAGTGCAATGACATTAATTATCTATATTTCGAGACATCATGTAAAATATAATCTGGTTTTGATTGAATGTAAAATATTTTAACATGTCAAGTACTAATACAGAAGTTCAGAGCCCTTTTGTAAATATAACAGAACCAACTACTTTTTTTTGCCTTACGAGAATTGTGCAATTTCCACTCTCAGCTCACAAAGATAAAAATGTTTTAAGTTCAATTCCTTCTTCTCCATCCAATAAATGCTTCTCAATTTGTTACGTCATCTCGTTTTGGCTTACTTAGAGTCTCAGAAACAACTTCAACCCCCCCCCTCAATAATTTATTTAGCATTCTGATGTCACTTTCTTATGTCCGTTCAACTCTTGCTTCTCCTGTGAGCTCATAAATCTTTGAATAAAGGCAATAAATCGATAATCCTGGAGCACAACGTATCATTACTCACAGAGCGTCGCAAAAAGCATATCGTGTACAACACTAGTGTTTCTTAACAAATCACCCTTTTCCTTATTATGTCGATATGTTTTTGTTCTCGCCGCTCAACGTGAATACACATAAAAGCGTGTATTTATGAAAAAAAAACGCAATCGTTTGTGTAGTATAGTACGTTTCCGTTCTAGCAATTGTGATACCTCACTCCCGTTTAAAATTCTTTCTAGTTATGGTGCAAATTGATTGACCAAGATTTTTAGTTGGTTGAATCCAATATGTTGGTGTGATGTTTGCAAAAGAGTTATCATATCCTAAACATATTTGTGTGAGTATCATCAAGATAAATGTTTGCTGAGCTATGATTTCTTTGAATGACTTGCAGTCTACTCAGGCAAACGATCAAAAATACTACAATAGCTTATAATTAATATTCTGGATAATATTTTCGATTTTAATTAATAAACTATACAAAACATATTAAAATTTCAAGATGCATTGAGAAACGTTAGAAATCTTTGAAATAAATTTTAGGAAATCTTAAAAGATTTTCAAGACATTTTTCGGTTTATTTAATCTCAATAAATTTTATAAAATATTAATAAACTTGATAATTCCATTATAATAATAATAATACATTTCTAGAATATTTTAGAATAATATATATTTTTTTAATCGTTTGCCTGACTAAAAATACTTTATTACTTGCCAACATATCTCGATTATTATTGAATATGCGCAATTACATAATGGTACCTACAAAAGTGTCGGCAGATGAATGTCGTTAAACCAGTGGACATAAAAAGGTACCGCTAGTAAATGAATTCTCGTGCCGACAACTAACGATTTTAGTGCTCGATTGACCTTGTCGGTATGAATTTGCAGAATGTTGAGAAGCGATTTGCTTTAATCGCCGGCTCGTAACGCTTTCACGCGATTTGCAAGCTGTTTTCTCCCGCTTTTGCGCGATTGCTAACGAATTTACGCTGACTCGTTGTGCGAATAAATTGTTTCCCACTACGGACTACTTGTGCATATTGATGCGTTCGCGCCGTGTGAGGAAAAATAGTGAGCATTAAGAATTAATTCTTTCTGGCTGGCTGACTAGCTTGCCCAGCTGCTCACTCATTTTATTGGATTTGAGGAAGAATTGCCAGTCGTCCACGCGCACAATAACATCTCGCATCTGTTTATAAGGTGTGAGCGAAAAATGAGGCTAATTGTGGCTCAATTATCGTACAAGTGTCAAAACCATTGCCTATTATTTAGTGGTTCTCACCATTCTTCATTTCTCATTCGAAAACGTTGTTCCATCATCATTGAATTAAATGAGAGAACGCAAATTGTTTTATGACGACTGTTTGAAACTTGCCAATATTTTCTGGCAATATTTTCCAGTTCAATGCGTTCCCGGGCAAACACACTTTGCGACAATTTACCTCACGTTAAGACGTTTGTTTCGCATGAGTAAGAGCATCGTTTCCTCTCTTTTCGCGATGGCCCTATGCATATTCCAAATGCCTATTTTTAATGCGAATATCGTTATACTATTTTCGCACTTGTTGATAAAAAAAGGTTCACACGGTATTTGCTTTTCCCGTCTGCTTTAATATTATTTTTGTTCCACATCATTTTCACTTTTTCGCAAAACTGAACAATCTATGCATATAGTTGACACGCCCACATCGACGCTGTGCGCACGAATTATTTATATCAATTTGCAGAAGTGCGATTCAGGAAGTATTGCTACTTCTTTTGCTCATCATCGAATTTGGGAAAAATAATGCATTTCTATGTACATTTGCTAATCTTCGAAATTCTTTAGAAAACTATATATTGAATGTGATTAGCGACTAACTATTGAACTCGTATATGCGAAAAACAGAGTAACTAGTCTCAGAAAATTTCTTGCATGCTTGCCTCCCCTTCGCTATTTTCATCACTTCATATAATGCGTTTGTCATCTTTACAGTTGTTGAGGTCGGGCGTCGAGAACGTAAATTTTTCATTTCACACTCCTCATTTTCCTCCCGTCGTCCACACCAATCGTCTTTTTTTCCAAATTCTTTTCATCCATCGAACCACTTGAAAAGTCATCATGAGGAGCATTACTCTTATTCATTATTAGTATTTCGATATGTCCTTCGCACCCTACGGCGTCTCCCACATTTTTGTCGGCATTGCGGTTTTTTCTATATAGTATCAATTTCGTCTTCTCAAGAACGCCGCGCGGGAGGGGGGGGACGCGTTTTTTCATTGCCGCCGCAACTGTATCAAGTATCTCGTAATTAACACATTAAACGTTATCTCGATTATTAATGAGGCAAATTTTAATGAGTTTTTTTTTCCACCACTTCGACCCAGTTTTGCGCACATTCATCAATTTTTCATTAGTTATCACATTCGTTTTTGTCCGAGAAAAAATATGTCTCATCACTTTAGCATTTTTCTATTCACCAAGCTTTTCTCTTGTCATTTCTTCGTTTTCTTTCCAAATGTAGAAGTGATTTTTTCTCTATTATATGTTGAGACAATAGAAATATTAAAAAATCAAAGGCTACTTCTCATTCAATCTCAAAAATTCGGTCATCTTTATACTATGACTTAATGATGTTTTCCTCATAAAATTTTATGTGTTAGGAGGTTAAACGTTTCCTGACGAGCACTCATAACTGATCAAAAATGATCTCGAGAGCGTATCGTCCAGTTTTCTTTACAGGTCTAGCATCTTAGGAACAGTACGAAAAAATTCAAGAACGAATTGCAGTAGCACTTTCAGAAGCACTAAAAGTTTAAAAATGCAAAACATACTTCGTAGAGTATGTTTCATACATATTTAAGCATTAAAAAGAATATATTTGGAAATGAGCTTCTTATTTTATAACGATATCCGAATGTCGAGCGCCTGTCGCTCCAAACTGCTAATAGGGTGTTTTTTGTTTGGTGTGATAATCAAACAAGAATCATCACAACGAAATCGAGGCAATAATTCTTCATGGTTTATCTCGTATTCAATAATTTATGCGGAAGGCAAGGCGGATTGCAAATTAAATGAAACAGAAGCGGAGATTGAAAAATTGCTTGCAATTTCAAATCACAAGGGATATCAACGCCGGGCTTTTAGAATTTCATATTTTCGCCGCCTTTCTCCGCTTACATTTATGCGAGTTTGCGTTCCGTTTTATTTTTCCCCATCATTCTTTTATTTTCGGCAAGTGTTTTTCTTTTTTTTGGCTAAATTATGGCAGACTATGAGGACACTGAAGCAAGCCTAAATAAATTGGCAGACCATCAACACTTTCAAAAAATATATATATCGAACGAAGTTTGGGCGATTCCTGCTCATGCATATTCATAACTTTGTACTTTTTGACCCCAAACTTTCAACTGCGACATTCTCTTCTCTCGGACATTTGATGTCACACATTTTCAGATATACGAGGGAAAAAAGGAACGAGAGGAGAATGTCCGAGTTATCTTTGTCAAAAAAGCATTTCCATCTATTTTGACGTCTCAATTTCATTAAACTACGTTTCCATCGCTCAATTCGATTTCGCGTTTTTTTCAGGCAACACTTCCAGCCAAAATTATTCCTCTTCCAAAAGAAAACATGTATGAGGCTAGCGGATCGTTATCGGATGAGGTACAACTATATCTCAACGGTTTTGCTTCAACTATTGATGTTTCAGCATACTTGGCAGGAGGAGAAGGAAGACTTGTTGATGATGGTTATGGTTGTGTTGCTGATGCTTCTATCAGTCGTTATCTGGATTGCATTCTGTGTGGCGGTCCGAAAAACAGCGCGAAAGTTTTTCGAATTGAAGCGTCAAAGAAGGCGACAAGTGAGTTGCTATACATACGTATATAATACACATAGCTATGCATATAATTATTGATGCAACCTGTTCGCGCTCAAGATAATCCCACTATTGTGTTAGCATATCCGTTCTGCTCTATTTCGTACTAGTTGGCTGATTAATGATTTACCTAAACCATGAGGGACTTCTTATGACGACGAGTTGTTCTTTTTTCAGGCCCTCATTACAGCAGCGATCAACCGTGCAGCTTCGACAAATGAAGCCGACCGTCACAATGTTCTTCCAATTTACATTGCTACACTTGCTCATGAGCTTAACGTAGTCGAAACCAACAAAACATAATTAATAAACAAATCATTTTAGGTGTTCGGAGCTCGTGAGGAAGAGCTTCCAACTTATGAGCAAGCTCTATCAATGAGTTGTACTCCTAGCCCAAATCCGGTCTCAGCGGCTACCCAGAGAGAAAGGTTTGGTTTTCAGAAATCGAGTGATTGCAGTGATTTAACATTTTCCTTTGAATCCCCTATAGCAGATCGATCTAACATTGTGTTTACAGCGCACCTCCGTACCAACACCGCACTTGCAAACGCGATCGCGTGCTCAGGTAATCTAATGCTTTTATCCCGTTTTCATGTATTCAAATTTCTACAAAGGCGAACAACATCGGATGTAATTGAGATTTACAGTAAACTTAGCCTTGCCCAAAAGCATTTAACACTTGCAGTTTGAGCTATTTTTTATGATATCCATATTTCTAATAAGCGCAATTAAGACGAAACATTGAATATCAATCACACCATTGTATTATAAAAAAATAGTAAAACATTTTCAGAATTGCTCCTGATCGTCCGGGATCTCTTCCAACTATCGTTCTGCCTCCAAGCTACGAGAGCTCTGTTCGTCATGAGGCAATGGCATCGCCTTCAACAAGACCACCAAGGGGACCATCAACCTCCACTGCAAACAGCTTGTCCCCAATCTATACAATTTCTGGCAACATGCAAATCACAGAGTGCTAATTGTTTGATTTGGTGCATCATTATTTCATGACACGTTTCTGTTCATATAAGAATTATTGGCCAATTGCTTCCCAAAATTTGCTTTCGCCAGCTATCTCACACCCGGTTTCATTAAAGCAATTGCATTGTGCAATCTATTCATTTTCATTTACTATTACTTTGAGTCTCTTTTACGCAATAGAATAATTTACGGCTATTTTTTTCCAAAAACAAAACTGTTTTTTGGTTCATATATAATAAATGATATTCAATTTAGTCGAATTGGAGCACAGCTTCGTGATCGTAGGCGAATTTTCTGCAACATTTTCTATTCTTTAAATTGCGCAAATTCTCATTTTATATTTATGAGAGCCATCGTTCAATGCTCTAAGCGCCGAACTCATAAAAAATGAAACGTACTGCATTGTGGCTTTGAGCAATAATTCGATTAGCTGCTCGATCGACATTGGCCATGCGATTCCAAATGCGACCACGGTAATCGTCTGTTCTTCTAATATTTCTGAAAAATAATGATTATACGCATAGAACGCATTAAAGAATTAGATACTTCATTGTGATCTCTCGCATGTCTCTTTGATAAAATGCTTGAATCGATGTCGAGTCCGCAAAAAGCTCCCTTCGTACGCTTTCCACACTTTTGTGTCCTAGCGCAACGGCACGAGCAGCATCCTGCAATTCAATAAAAATAATTGACCGTTATCAATCATTGATTTTTGCATTTTATTTGACATTACACAAAAATTCATAAAGAGCGTTTAATATGATAAATGACGAACCCGTTTTTTTTGTTCGATCGCTGCTCTTTGCTGAGCCGCTGCTCGAATGATGCGTTGTCGTGCCTCGAGCCGATTTATGAAGCTTGGACGATTCCTCTCAAGATGAATCTAATAAATTATTTTTGAATAATTTGTGTGTTGTGCTTCTCACTCTTGGTGGACATGCGGCGATCCATGCGTCATCCTTCATCGGTGAGACGTTTAAATGCTCAATAACCGGCTCGCTGTTTGATCGTTGATATTCTAAATGCTTTGTATCGCTATAAGTTTCTTGAAACGAGGCGATTTACGTTCTAGTAGTGTTGGCTCTTCAAACAATCTTCTTCTAGTATATGTACGACGTGATGACGTTGCTGATGGGATTCTTGGAAGTGTTCGTGTGGGTGTAACGGTTGATGAGATTGTACTTCTGCTTTGCGTCGGGTGTGGCTGAGTTCTGGAGATCAAAGGAAGTTGTCTTGGTCGCCGAGAAGAATTCTACAATTAAATGACAAATACTTATTCTTATTGTTAGCTTACTGATTCTGGTAGCCTTGAGGATGCGTCGCTTTGAGGTGTTCGTGGTGCTCGGGGAGTTACTCGTCGTTCTTCAGGTGCCGTTCTTACTGGAGACGAAAACCCACTGCTACTGCTAGATGTTTCCCGTTTAGTTGGTGTCACTCTTTGCACTTTTGCTATTTTTGAGCTGACACTAATCGACGCACTCCTTTCATTTTGCGATTCCGATGACTCCACTTCGCTCGTCCTGGAATTTGCGAAATAAGCTAGTGATTAGGAGTTTAAAACTTACGAATTGAGATGTTTCACTAAAGCTGTTAATTCTTTGATAGCAATTTGCTGTTTTTGAACAATTCCTTTTAAGTTCGCATTTTCAGCTTTTAAAGACTCGCATTTTTTTGTATAAGTGATGAGTAGTGTTCGCATGCTCATGTCGATGTTCTCTGAAACAAGAAAAATTATTTTATTAAAAAAAAGGGCCAAGAAATACCCAAGTTTTCATACTGCTCGTCGATAGGTTCTCTTTGTATACATGTGACATTTGGCGTTTCCGGTGGCCTACAATTATATGTATTTTTTCGTTTACATATTCAATATACATATAAGTAAGCACAAAAAGTACCGGATATATAACATGTAGCATTTATGTTCCTACGTTCGTGAAAAAAACGAAAAGTGCAGAGAAAAAAACCACAATATAAATTAATGGAGTAGTACGATTTTCAAAAATTCTTTAAAATGAAACTCTTTCCGAATTCTTCAATTAAATTCATTTTGAGAACAAAACTTTTAAATTATGAAACAAAAATGGCAAATCATTTCATTATTAATATTTCGTCATTCCAATTATAATGAAAATGGCAGTATATTCCATTTATTGGAATAATTATGTTATTTATTATTTTTTCAATGTTATGCTAATTTTACTTTGTTTTTTTTTTTAATTTCAAATAAATAACTCTCCATAGACTGCTCTCAAATCATGTGTGATTTTGCGTCTTGCACATTACGGAATTGTGTGCAACGCAGGAAAAATTGAATTTTTGAAATTTTTATTTATAAAATACTTATAATTGTTAATAACTAACTTTTTATTTTATATCTCTTAAAATATGTGTTATATAAACTACTATTATATAAAACAGTTAACAAATTCATACACAATGAAAAAGCTTCGCTAATTTGCACTTTATTCTCCACAAATTGACAAAAAACAAATAATATCTGATAACTATAAATAGATATTGATGAAAAGACTTTAAATTAACTTTTTTTTTAAATAATATTTTAATAATTTTACCTTATGGAACTTGGCGTGATAGGCGTTGAAACCATCGGAGCGGAGCCGGTTCGGTTTTCGGCTGTTTTGTACAACGACCTAGAAAAATTTAACAACGGTAAGGCAAAATGTTGAACGTACCATAACTCGCTCGACATCTTTATGGCAAAATGAACATTTGGCGTCGAGCGTGTGCACCAAACCGGACGCCAGGTGGTGTTGTTGTTGTTGGTGTGGGGTGGCGGTGGTGTCGGTTTAGCAGGGAGCGTCCATGCTGCACATGCGTCTGTAGGTAATTGTCATGACTACGCGCGCGCTAATTATATGGAATAAGCACTTCTCTAATAGATAACTGTAAACAAATAGCATTGAGGGGCGTCGTGCCGCTTTCAAAAAAGGTCATTCATAATGAATAATGCAGATCCCCAATTCATTATTTTTCTAGTTGCGGGGGACAACTGGCTTGTTTGGCATGAAAAATGCCTATTAGCAAACATTGTGATACGGCAAATAGGAAACAAATTTCAAAATCCGTCGAAGAATAGTTCAACGAGAGATTCAGAGATGAAAAGGAACACGCGCTCCCAGGTGGTTTCACTCTCTTCCCCCCGATACTAATTTCTCCCCAAGATGTATTTATTAATTGTAACGGAATCTATCAGATCAGTGTTATATCCGTTATAACAAATTGACCCATACACATATATAGTATTTCGTAATAGAATCGTTCATAGTCCTTGTTTTACATAACGTTTTCAAGTTGATGGACACCATCATACCCAAACGATCAATAAATATGATAATTTATGCGATAGTCATGCATGGTTTACGACGCATATACAACCATTCCAAGTGTATGGTGCCTTAAGACGTCGCGTTTTCCAATTTCGACCATTATTATCATCGCATTTCATGTGCTATCGCTGCATTGCGGCTCACTCTGTTTTGTACGTCTTTATTTGACAGAACACCTATCAGCAACTTGGCATCGACGTGTGCGCGTCGCATTTTCCAATTCCCCCCATCCTCGATTTCAATCGATTTCGAGAATTGTTCCTAATTTTTGGTGTATGCACTTGACGGCGTGTTTGTTCATCGGTTTTGAATTAAAACTGGTGTAAGTGCTGCGCTCAAATTCGATTCGTCGATTATTCAGCATGTAGTTGAAATTGTCGAAAAAAAAAGAAAAGTTCTTGAAATACTTGTCGAAATATGAAATCGTCAAAATTTATAGCCTACCAGCTCGAATTTTGATAAAAACAATAGCATTTCCATATTATTTCAATTTTTTTAAATGAATAGTTACCAATAATTTTATATTAACTATTTGGTTTCCGAAATGACTTAAAATATATTCATATCGGTTTAAATTTTGTCGACGAACATGTGGTTTTGCATTTTCCACATCTGTTCGATTTGATGTCCGAATTCTTTCAACTCTAGTAACATGTTCATTAGTGAGTTCTACATCCCCACCTATTTCTTCCTTAAAAAGAGTGTGATATTTTTTATTCATTGATTTTTATCTGCAAACGACACCTCCTACATGGATGAACATTGTGTAATTGATGGCTGTAAAGAAAACGGAATTAAGCATGTAATCTGATGCGTTTTTAACGACACCACCACTTTTTTGTCCGATTAAGTCCGAATAGTTCTTTCAAATTAAAGCGATCCGCATAAATAATACGCACTATTAACCAGAATGGAGGTCTTGATCGTTCTTTTCTCTATTTGCATTTCTCACAAGTTTTTTTTTGCATTGTGTTGTTATCACTTTCTATTTGTGTTTACCGCATTCCTTCCAATGACGTGTCAATTTTTTGAAGTCATCCAGCATTAACAGATATATATATATATACTCTAATATATAAAATGAGAAAATTAATTAGAAAGTGAATATCTAGTTGGTTATAATGGAATATCGGCTACAATGCAAGAATGTCCGGTTGTTTGACAAATTGGTCTGATTTGATTATACTTCTTCAAATTATTTGCTTTTGTTACAGTTTGGTATTGTTTATTTTCAATGTTTAGTCACCTGATACGCCATGAAAATAATAAATAATACCTTCACTTTATTCGTTTATCAAAAAAATATATTGCTCAATGTTGACAGAATTGTATATTGAATAAAAGCGGAGGAAGTTTTGAATGATAAGAAAAGCTTTTTTTAAAGGAGCCATAAAGAGAAAATTTAAAAAAAATGAAAAATAGACAAAATCTCAATCCAAAAAAACAAGAAGAAAATTATTATTTCTTCTTCTTCCTCGAATTTTGAAATTTTTTCGATTTTTCATTTTTCTTAATTCTCTGTATTGCCCCACAAACAAATTTTACATTTTTACAATGTTTATAGCTTGTTTATACCAACAATATTTTCAATTTTATCTAAAATGACTTTCAAACCTCATTATGATTACACATATTTCATTTTAGACTACAACTGGCAGAATTTCTTGTTAGAAAAGAATTAGTCCCGAAATTGTCAAACTAAAGGTTGACAAAGTCTTTGCCCATTTGATCTACGAGTGTTTGTGTTCACAGCTCCGAGCGCGACAAATTTTACAACTCGCCATCGCTTTTTGTCTTTTGGTCATTCGCAGTCACATTTCACTCGAAACGTTTTGCGCTTCGGTTTCTTTTCTTAAAAAAAATGTAATAGCGCCATTTTGTCAATTATAAACAATTCCTTTCTTGTTCGATAATTCAACAAATCTTCTTTTCAACGACCCGGTCATCCATTTCCATTTCATGACATTTGCTTTTTTGTTCAAGTTCAATTATTTTCCGGTCACGTACATTTTGAATGAACGGCAAGAAAAAAACGAAGCAAATTCGTTCGTCCTCTATTCCATACTCCCGAATGTCTTGATGGGCCGCGATAAACGAGCTTGGTGACCTTGCCATGTTATCAGGAAATGGCAATAATTTTCATCATCATGGATCTTGTTCACTTGTGTGTGTGCGATTGTCTTCCAAGTCGCCTCCTCTCCTTATAATTGTTTTTGGCTACCGGTGCGCGTTGACGTGGTGTGTCTCGATGTGTGTGTGTGTGTAGGGGTATTGGAGAGCGGTTTTTGTCCTATTCGCCTTCCCGCGCACAAAACTCGCACTGTCTTTTGCATACTCGCGCTTACCGCACCGTTCATTGTGGACACTCATTCTCTCCTGTGCGTACCTCACATCGCGCTCTCCCGCTCGCTTCCTCTCCTGGCGATAGGTTTTTCCTGTATATGTGTTTCCCTCGCCATTTGCCTCCCTCTTTGATTTGCGCATATAGTTTGCTTGCACTGCTCTTCTGTCTTTTTTGTCGGTTTTGTATGTTGTGGGAGGGTGAAAGCGTCGTCATACAATAGCGGTCACTACCATACTTGATTGCTGAATGAAAGTGAGTGTTATGGCATAACGATGCGTCACACCTTGCTAAGAACTTCTCTTTTTGTAATTATTTCCTTATTACATAATTGGCTAACATTTTGTCATGAAGTATATTAAATTTTGCCCTGCTAAACTACAATTAATTTATTATATATAATCTATAATTACATTTCTTCTCAGATTCTCAAAAGAAACTATTTACATTTTATTGTAAACTTTGCGTGCCGAACTTTATAACGCTGGATGGCATTTCTTAATCGGGTCAAAAACTTGTTTCGCGGTGGAACTATAGAGAAAAAGCTTCCCAGCTATATTCAGGTTCGAATAATCAAACGATGATTGATGACAAAGCAATGATTTTTTTCTTTCCAGGACAATGTTAATCCAAAGGATCACTGGAATATCATTGGCGAGCTTGGAGATGGCGCATTTGGAAAAGTTGAGAAAGCGGTGTCGAAAACCGACCCGCACAAATTTGCAGCATCAAAGGTTGGTTGCAATTTCCATTTTAACAAACGTTTGCGTAATTTCAGAGTATTGAAATACAAGAAGGGGAAGAAGTCGAGGATTTTCTAATTGAAATTGAGATTTTAACACAATGCAAGAATCATCCAAATATGGTTGGGCTTTATTCATGTTATTTCTTCGAGAACAAACTTACGGTAATTTATCAAAACTTTTTTGTGCTGAAAATCCCTAATTTTCAGATGATGCTTGAATTTTGTGGTGGAGGCGCTGTAGATAATATAATGCTTGAACTTGAAAAACCGCTTACCGAATCCCAAATCAGATATATTGCCTACTATGTATGCGAAGCATTGAAGTTCATACACTCTCAAAACGTTATTCATCGTGACTTGAAAGCGGGAAATATTTTGCTCACTGATGATGGACAAGTTAAACTTGCCGATTTTGGAGTATCCGCAAAATTGAAGAGTGATCGAGAAAAACGCGACACATTTATTGGTACCCCATATTGGTATGTTAATAAGCAGAACTTGTTTCAAATTCGATATGTTTTCAGGATGGCCCCAGAGGTAATGATGTGCGAAACATTCAAGGATCAGCCATATGATTGTAAAGCGGATATTTGGTCATACGGGATTACGTTGATTGAGATGGCTCAAATGGAACCCCCACATTCTGATGTTTCGCCAATGCGAGTGCTCATCAAAGTTCAAAAATCGCCACCACCAACACTGGACGAAAACAGCCATTGGTCTTCGTCATTCCGAAACTTTCTTAAAAAGTGCCTTGTTAAGCAGCCTGTCGAACGATTAAGCGCTAGTGAATTGCTTGAAGTAAGTTTTCATTTTTTTAAATTGAAATTAATTTTTTTAAAGGAAAAATGGCTTTCAAACGCCACAAGCGAGAAAAAATCGATTTTGATGCTTCTTGCTGAAATGCAGGCTGATGTAAAGGAAGAGGTCATTATTGATGCTGATGGAGAATCAATCGCAGAATCGGAGGATAACTCTGCCAGACATGAAAGTATGATGAAAACGATATGCATGACAATTGATAATTTATTCCTTTTAGTCCGTGATACTTGGAGTTCTGCTTCGGAGAGTCCAGTCCCAATAAACGGAAATGCCGATTTCATCAAACCGTCGATGCCAATTCCACCAGAAACACCAAAGAAACGTGCTGCTCCGCCACCACCAGTTTCTCCAGCTCATATGGAAAAAGAAAAGCATTCTCCGGTTGAAAGCACCGTTGAAGTAATTCTACTGAAAGTTTTATTTTCAGACATAAGTATATCGATCTTTTCAGCTCATCTTCAAATCCGAAAGTGACAGAAATGCGACAACTGAAGTGGTTAAAAATATTCCCAACGACGAAAAGGTTGACAATGTTGGATACCAAAAATTATCGCTTAATGTTTCTAGTCCAAGCAAGGTAAGTTTTCATGCAAACATCTCCGAACTACAATTCCTCGCGTTTATAGGAAACAAAATATATTGCCAGCCCTGGAAGAGAGGCTATGAATATTCTCGATGATTTGAATATCGCATTAGACGGAGAACCGAGTGAACCATCGCGAGAAAATTCTTACAAAGGCAGACTTCATTCTAGCGGATCTTCTGTGAGCAGCACATCGCCTACCAAAAATGATTTTCAAGTGGAGCATAGTATTAGAGACAGTAATACAATCAAAGTTAATTCATTATCAAACTTGGGTTTTCAGTTATCAATGCTAATCGCCATGCTTCTGTTAGCCCTCCAATTCTTCCAAGCCCTGGGCCGCAGTATGCATCCCATGAATCGCTTAATAAATCGCTGCACAAAACTGGCTCAGAAGCGTCGGTTACTGGAAAATTCACATTTAATGAAAAAGAAGCAGCGAAATACAACGCATCGAAACAGGTTTTCATTTTGATTTTAAAACATTTTTTTGAGAGTGATTCATTAAGAGTGGAGCTGTTAACTCAATCCAAGCCAAATTTGAAAGAGTTAACGATTCTCCAAACTACGTTCCTTTATCGCCTCCTTGTGATATTCCAGATGGTACTTTTCAAGAAAATTCTCATTAGCCAACTTTGAGATTATTTAGGAATTGTTAAAGCAAAGAAGAAGGCCGTTGAAGAAAGCACAGAAAGAAATTTGAATAGAGTTGAAGCATTGAAGAATGAGTATGATGGAGTATTCAAACGACCAACACAGGATCTGATGGCTAGTCGCACTTTGTCCGAACAAGCAAGAATCCGAGCGGAAATTAACTTGAGCCTTCCTTTAACACCAGGAAAATCTCCAAATAGTTCTGGTCCAACCAGAACTGATTCATCATCTTCCGCGGGATCAAATCGTTCCCCATCTTCAAATTCAACACCTCAAACTAAAAGTCCAGAGTATTTCGAGCTCACGTATAGCAAGTCGTCAGCCACAACTAACAAAACACCGCCACCAGAACCCCCAGTCGACTATGACGGAAATGCAAAAGGTAAATGTTTATTTTTTTGCTTCAATACATTCAACAATTATGTTTAGCCCCTACCCCGCCGGAGCCAAATAAACCGTCTGTGCCTGTTCCATCCCCAGTGGTTTCCAGAAAGCCTGACGGGTCTGGACCACGAGCATTGGGAGGTCGTCGTGATGCTTCTCGACAAACAGTCACCAAGAAGACTAGAACATACATGATTGATGGTGTTCAAGTTACTTCTACAACCGTTCATGTTCTTGGTGTGAAAGACGACAAAGTTCAAAGGTAAAAACACTTTAATTTGAAATTTATAAAAATATATTTTTTAGAAAGCAACAACTTCATGACTTGCGTCGTCTTCAGCGCGATGAAGCTCGTCAGAAGCAAGAACTTCAAGCCGAAGGCGTCAAACTTGTTGATGAGCAAGCGAGAAAGTTTGCACTTGAACAACAGGTATAGTTGTAATTTTTGGTCAAATTAAAAAAAAATTGCAGACATTGAATCGCCAATCTGATCTTGAAATGGAAGCTATGGAAAGAAGGCAACGAAAAGAAATGGAGGAAGCGGAAGCCGCTCAAGAGGCTGAACTTCGAAATGCACAAAAGAGATTAAAGATCGAACAGGTTTGCATTTAATTGAAATAAATTCAAAAAGAATAATAAATATTTAGGAGAAAGACATGAAGGCGTTCCGGGAACGTTTAAAACAAGACATGAAAATCTTCAAGCAAGAGCTTACAATGCTTTCAAAAGTACAAAGAAAAGATGCATTGAAGCAAAGAAAAGATCAAATAGAAATAGAGCATCAATTAAAAGTCTGAATTGTATATTAAGGACTAATGAATACCAGTTTCGTTTAGGAGAAGGATTTCATGATGCAATTGTCTCTCAATGGAGAAAGTATGCTTCAACGCATGGTTGAAAAACACAAGGAACGAATGGCGTCGATGGAAAAGCAATTCCTCCTGCAGAAGCACAATCTTCTTCGTGCGAAAGAAAATAATATTTGGGAGTTAGAGGATAAACAAATGCGAGAAAAGTAATAACTGTCATTATCACACAAAAACGTTCAAAAGAAACATCTTTTGCAGATTCGTTCTTCATCGCAAACTATTCAAGGATGAATACTATCTTTTGAGAACTCAAATGCTTGCTCGTCATCAACGAGAAATGTCTCAAATAGAGAAGATGCATCAAGAAGAGGAAGATGAGCTCATTCGAGCTTTAACTCTAGACCGCAAGAAGTTGCCGAAAATGTTGCGAGCTGAAGCCAAGACTAGAAGTGTCATGTTCAAGGAAAGCTTGCGTATCAGTATGGCTGTAAGCACAAACAATACAATAGTTGTACATCAAGGAAATTTTTTTAGAACATGTCCAACGCTGAAATGCAAGAACGTATCCGCAAGTTTGATGAGCAAGAAGCATTGCGCATGCGCCTCGCACTTGAAGAGCACGATCTGAAGTCGCAAAAGAAACTTCAAGCTCTCAAAGAGAAGCATCAAGAAGCGATTATTGAGTTGGATGAGATGCAGAATGAGAAGCGCAAGCAACTTCTTGAAAAGGAGAAGAACACAATGTACGAACACGAAATGAAATATCATGAAATGCGAAATGTTTGGCAGGAGAATCTTGTTGCGCGCAAAACGGTGAGTCATTTTAATACAAATGTGCCGAAGAAAAATAAATATATTACAGAGTCTTGAAGAACGATTCCAAGAGGAGCTCAGCAAACAGGAGATGTTTTACGGACTTCCGTACAATACTAGCCAAGCAACAACTGGGCTAAGCGCTCGTCAAATGACATAAATGAGCTATGAATTTGCCTTCCTCACCCTGTTATTCTCAATTCCGGTAGTTATTATATAATCTAGCCAAGTTTGATTTTTTCGTTATTACTCGGCTTGTTTGACATAAGGGTACGCAATCTTTTACGATTCCTTCGAAATCAAACCAATCAAATGTGTCTTCGATTTTTAAAAAATCCGCCTTATTTACAACTTTTATACGGTTACGAATGATTTTTTTTGTTTCAAATGTACTCTCTTATTTTCTAATCACAAGAATCCTTAATAAGAAATCACAGAGGATCTCTTTTATTGTCTCCCCCCAATTTTAATTATGTTTATTTATATTAAATCATTTATTTATGCGTAGAACCTCCTAGATATGTTTTATATTTGATTAATATTTATATGATTAATTGAGAGCGTCAAATTATCAATGCATTGTGTGACTTAAAGTTGCTTCTGATGGTTATGTTATAAAATTCTGTCAGCATGCCAAATTTTATTCAATGTATAACATATATTTTCTGAGTTCGCAATTTTCAAGGCTTTCAAAAACAATTTTGGTTTTATGTTTCAACAAAGACTTCCCTGTCATCTATCATCGACATTTTCTATATACATTTTTTATTTCTTCCGGTACGCATTTGACAGCTCTATCAAAAGAATGTTATTATGATACCTGGAACAACTCAATAATTTATAAAGATGAACATTAGTGAATCTAATTTTTTTATATAGTTCGATTTACTCAACTGAGAGATACATCAAGTGACGTCCAGCAAAAGAAGAAAACTAGGTAGCTTGTGCGATTGCTACAAAAATATCTCAGCTCTAATTCAGAGTGAAGCAGCTAAAAGAAATGGTTAAAAAGATTTCTAAATGAAGGGTAATTGATCAATAATATATCAATATTACAATAGTTTTTTTATAGATTAAACGGATCAATTATACATTAAACGTTAATTTGATGTAAAATAAAATATATTCGTATTCAGAATGTGATTCACATTGTTGGGACTGTGTCGCGCTCTCCCACTTTTGTCTTCCATTGTCTTCTTTCCAAATTTATTTGAACGTTACGATTTTCACTATTTCTTTATGAAGGTGAAATTGTAAAACAACTATTTTGTAACACTCTAGAACACATTCCCACCACATCTTTGAGAAACAATTATTTTACATTGAAAATTGCCTTTCGAATGCTTCTTCAATTTTAGCAAGAATGGGAAACGGCGAAAGCGACAACAAGTGAGAATTTATTACAGCATTAATGACGAGATTCTGACAAACGATTCTTCATTTTCATCGAGATGTGTAATTACATTTAAATTATTATTCATTGCAAATTAGTGTTTGTTATTGTTATAACTCAGGCAAGTTTTTCGGCTACTTGTGATATTGTTTTTTAATATTTCTTTTAAAATTTAGTTTTTTTTTCACGTTTAAATTATTTTGCTGTTAATCAATGAAAAAAATTTAGTACTTCGACTTTTCAAACTGAAATTGTATAATTTTACCTTCTTTTTTTTTAAATAAATGACTCATACATAGTTTTTTTTTAATCGTGTACAGTGGAGCGTATTTTCCCTCTCTTTATTCATCTTTGCGCCCATTCACCCAGCGATGAGTTATTTCACAATTCCATGTGGTTAGAATGACCGGCCAGTTGGTAACATATTCTCATTTTTCTCTTTTCACTCTCTCGCCTCGCGCTCTCATTCGTTTCCCAATGGGTGGTTGGGCCGTTGTTTGCCGAGAGTTTTGACAGATCAACAATTAAAGATAGCGTTTTATTAGTTCCGTATTCCTTTTTCATTTCGTCGAATGTGTTCGATTGGTTTTTGCATTTTTTATTTTCAAAGTTCTCTTTTTCCTTTCCATCATAGTGCCATTATTTCGTTGGTCCACTGGCCTGCTGTTCTTGATGTGCACTTTCAAAGGTCGCACACTCGGTCACAACGGACTCTGAAGACCAAACGACGGGCGGAAATATGGGATCAATTCAGGCGATTAGTTAATCCCTGCGTTTAATATAAAACGGCACATGTTCATATCAATCATCTTGTCAGATAAATTGAAAAAAAAATCAACAAACGATACGCATTAGTCATTTCCGTGTTTTTAAAAGATAGATAAGATGAGTCATTCATAGATAGTGTTGGAATATTTTCCGAGTTTCCCATTATTCATTCTTATAACAATCTTTGGAATATATACATTCATAGTATTATAATATTTTCTCTCTCCTCAAATCTAGTTTGCAATTCGATTGATTCACATGTAAATAAGCTGTGTCCATCAGCGGTTTCTGTGACAATTCTCTCTCGCCGTCATCAGTCTTTTTTCCTCCTTGCTTCTGTTATTGGGGGGGGGGGAAGTTCGCTCTTTTGTTTGTCAACCTCTCACACGGTTTCTAGAATAAATAAGAAATCTCGTTGTTCGTTTTAGAATTACAGTATTTCAGAATGTTCTTATAACGGACACGATGCAAATGAATAAGTGCTCAGTTAGCGTCGAATTGAATGGTGTGTCAACGACACCAAATGATTTGGTGAAGGCTGCTTTGAAGACCGACAAGCTGTTTTTGACCTTCAGAAATGAAATCGGACAACACAGCTCGATAGATTTTGAAGAAGATAGGTAAACTGAAATTTTTTGTCGCGAAAAGAAAAAGAAAACATGTTTCAGAAACCAATTTGCTCCAAACTCAACTTCCCATCTTACAACTTCAAATCTGGTAAACGCTGATCTCAAATAATTAATTATGTTCAAATTATATCCATTTCAGATCTCTCACTGTCACTTTAGTGGTTTTTCCAGCGGACATCGTCATGCTCTCTCATTATGCAGCGAAAATGGTAACAAAATGTTTCATTTCAAAATTGTTGAAACAAATTTGAAATTTGTCTGTTAAAAAAATTGCTGCATCGCGTCTGACGTCGGTAATTTATAACGTCTTGCGCCAACGATTAATCGTTTCGGGTCCTTACTAGAAATCTGATTCAGAATAGACTAGAGGTCGAATAATAGTAGTCTCAAAATATTAGTACGTAATGAGGAAGCGGAAAACCTCTCTGTTATTTGATACCAATAAACTCATAAAATATTTGTGTAAAAATATTACAACATCAAGATTTTGTTTATTATGTCATGTTGGCGAAAACGTGTCTGTTATTTACAAATGGAGCGGAATAGTAAACAAATTTCAAAATCTGGACATCGAGAACACTTTTCAGCAATTTTTAACTAAAACTTTTCAAGCTCCGAATGAACCAAACTACAAAAAATCGGATAATATATATCCGATTGTATGTTTTTACAGATATTACTGGTCTCATTCTAACCACTACCAATAGATTTGGAATTTTTGCCAAAGACGGGAATTTTTATTTCAAACCATATGTAGAGGACAATTGTGGTATATTTTTAATCATAAATTTAAAAAAAAGGCATAGACAACATTTTTTAGACTTCGGCTCACTGTTACGAACCAAACGAGCTGCTGATTCAGTGATCGATCGAAATCCGTCATATATTAGGGAACATCTGGATGGTCGTAGAAGATATGTTGAATTGGCACTGGTTGCTGATTATTCAATCGTAAGATTTTAAATTTTTGAATATTTAATAAGAAGAATAAATAACGAATTTTCTCGATTCAATTCGTTTGAATAAGATTCAATATTACCCAAATAAGTCGTCTGATTTACAAAGTTAAGAATCCAAGAGTTCTTCAAAATTGAAATAATTTTACCATCAAAATTTAGTGTCGTTTATTTCTTGTGGAAAAATGTGTTATTTCTCATTTTCCAGCAAAGCAATTTTGTCCGATGGCGTTCTTCTTGGTTTAGAAAATTTTCAACATTTCAGTAATAAATTTCCAAAAATTCCTTTCTACAATGTTCGTAGTATACATTTTTTTCAGTATACCAAATACGACTCCGACGAGAAGAAAGTCAATGATTACATGCAAGAAACTATTAATATTCTCAATTCGGTAAAATTGATTTAAACATACATACTATTATTCATATATCATATTGCAGCTTTACCATCCACTGAACATTCAAATCACCTTAGTGCATTCGGAGATTTGGAAAAAAGGCGACAAAATTTCAGTCATTGCTGATTCAAAAGAGACCCTCGCGAGTTTTATGATTTATAAGAAGGAAATGCTAAAAGAGCATTTGTTCGATACGGGATATTTGATGACGTAAGTCGATATCGTCAGTTATAAACGTCCTTTTATGATGGCATAACCTCCCACAAAAAACTCGTTAAAATCCTAAAAAAAACCGGTCTTATGAACTAGCCAATGGCGTAAAATTGGAAATCGCAAAAATAATTAAAAATTGTTACGCGAGGGGAAATATAGAAATTCAAGAGAGAAAAATAGGAAGAGAAAAAGTGTTCTAATACTGCTTCCAAAGATCTAGAAATGTTTTGACGAAAGTATTTCATAGTGAGAAGATTAGGAATTGTTTTGTGAATGCAAGATAAAACTGTTAAGCTTATTTTCAGAACATTGCGATTCGATGAAGGTGTTGTTGGAAAGGCGTATAAAGGAACGATGTGCTCTTATGACTATTCCGGCGGAGTCTACGTGGTTTGATAGAATTAATGACAAAAAACAGTGTCATAATACATGTTAAAGGATCACAATACGGATAAAGTCGAAACAGTGGCAACATTTGCCCATGAGCTTGGCCATACGTTTGGAATGGACCACGATCCGGAAGACCGAGAAGTTTGTAACTGCCCAATGCCAAAATGCATTATGGCCCCACAATCGGGGTAAAAAATAAACAAGAAAAATATTATGTATGAAATAAAAATTTTTAGCCATATGGAAGTTTGGTCGGAGTGCAGCGTGAAAAACTTGGCGAGCGGTTTCCATCGAGGAGTCGACTTATGTTTGTTCAATGAGCCCGGAAAAAAGCCATCGGAAGGAAAGTGTGGGAATGGTATTGTCGAACCTGGAGAGGTGAGAGTAGATTATCAACGCTTGTTAAAAAATTTGTTGAAAGGAATGCGATTGCGGGCCATTGAAATGCGATAATAAGTGTTGCGATGGTTCAACTTGCAAATTGATTGGAGACGCGATTTGCGCGACTGGCGACTGTTGCGATTTGAAGACGTGCAAGGTTATTCAAGAGAGATTGTCTTTCTTGAAAAACGAAAATACAATTCCAGCCGAAACCTCGAGCAACTGTATGCCGTGCTGCAGTTGGTATTTGTGACCTTGACGAATATTGCAACGGCGAAACGAATGATTGTCCTGCCGACTTTTTTGTACAAAATGGAGCAACGTGCCCAGGAAGAGAAAACGTATGAAAGTGTGCAAACTGTTGGATTAATATCAATCATATTCCAGGAATATTGCTATGAAGGAGGATGTGGAAGTCGGAACGATCAGTGCGCCAAACTCTGGGGACCGACGGGTAGCGGTGCTGACAAAAACTGCTATCGGCGAAACACTGAAGGAAATATTTACGGAAACTGCGGATACAATGTTCATACGAATGAATTTAAGAAGTGTGCTGTCGAGTAAGACAAAATGTATTTAAAATAACTTTAAAAGAATTGTTTCAGGGACATTCAATGCGGTTTAATGCACTGCGATACTCAGTCGGAGAGACCAATCTATGGCGACCCGGGTTCAATGCAGTTTATTCATAATTATATTTATTCAGGTATTCATCGATAATGATGATTTTTTTTTTCATCTTTTCATATTTCAGACGACAAAGTTAAAAAATCATGTTATTCCATCAAATCAAGCTACATTGGTACAAATCAACCGGATCCCGGCCAAGTACCGGACGGGTCCAAATGCGGTCCGGAAGATGTATATACATAAACGATAGAAATAGATAACAACTTGCTTGTAATTTCAGATGTGTATTGGTCGCAAATGTCAGAAGAAGTCAAAAGTGGCAAAAGTTACCCCACAATGTTTGGATAATTGCAACAATCGAGGTTAAATTTTGAAGACCATATGAAGCTGAATTTACCATTTTCTTAAGGTGTTTGCAACAATGTTGGAAATTGCCATTGTGATCGTGGATTTGGCGGAATAGCATGCGAAATTCCTGGTTATGGTGGTTCAGTGAACAGCAATGAAGCTTACACTTTTCGAGGGTATTAAAATGAAATATGTACAAGATTGAATCATTGAAGTTATTTCAGAATCACATTGTCGTCAGCGTTTATTTTGTTTTTCGCTGCTTTGGGATTTCTGATTGCCGGTTGTTGTGTATATTATAGAGTGAAGAAGAATCGAAATCTCCTTGGAGAGTGAGTTTTTAATGATTTTTCAAATAAAAATGTGTACTCAAATTGATTTAGGTGGTGGAAGTTTATTAAGAAGAAGCTGGATCTGCATGGTGAACTTGTTCCCGTTCGCAAAGCACCGCCACCACCTTACGCTAAACGAATAAGGTAAAAAAAATATTAAAATTGCACCATGAATTTAAATGGAAATTTCAGGCAAAGTTTAACAGCAATGTGGGGTGATGACAGTTCTCGTCATAATGTTATCCCTCCCGGACCACCTCCTCGTTTGGATGTTCCATCAATCCCAATGGTTACGCTGAAAAATGATGCATCTAGTCCGACTCTTTTGCTAAATGGAAACTACTCTAAAGGAACAATCGAAAAGCCGTATGATTATGGAACGGTGAGCAAAGCCCATGCCAACTTTTGCATATCTATCGTTTTTGATTTTGAAATTTAATTTTAACCTAAACAGTTTGCTTAGAAGCAATATATAATTGGACGTTTTTTTAACTAGCGCTATTCAGGATTCAATCAGTCGTACCGGTTCGCTTCGTCCAAATTTCAAACCGCCACCGATCCCTAGGCCAAGTGAAGAAGCTTTGCAGATGCTGAAGCAAGAGCTCAACGAGGAAAAATACGAAAAATTGTGAGATTTATTGCATTCGCGTTCATTTTTTTAAATTGATTTATATGTATTCAGAATTCAAAAACCTACACAACCTCCTCCTCCGCCGGTGCCCGCGAAACTTCCAAGTGTTAAAAGAAATGAAAGTTTCCGTCCAGAAGTCGCTCCTCCGCCTCCTCCCGTGAGAGGCATTTCGGTAATTTATTACCACGTTTCCTGAGTCCAAGCCTCAAAAATCATGACAAATTTCAATTTCTCTAATTATCATTTCGATGTAAACAATTAGTCGAAATTCTAATAATGGAATTGTAAGGAATTTGACGTAAACAAAATTCATCCTCGCTTTAATTACGTATGATTGAACATTTGGATGATGAGGTTTTGATCTCGTTTCCCCTAATGGAATTCGGTTCAAACGGACTATTGACAAAAATACCCTAAAAAGAAATTGTATTACGTCATTGAAAAAAATTATAGCATCAATTTTTATATTCAAGGTTGAATGGATTGTACGAGCAACTTAGGCTTAAGCAAAACATACGCTTATGACAATGATGTCCTTGAATTTTAAAATTCTTTGAATGCTTACCCCTAAATGATTCTATTTTTAGCCGCGTTGTTTTGGAAAATAAAATTCAGCAGCAAATTTAATTTATCATCACAGTGGGGTCCATTTATATAAAAACAAGCATTAGACATTTAGCGGTATGCGTTTGACATTTCCATATTCGTCATTGATATTTACAAAGAAAAGGAAATAATGTTTCAGACGGGAAACACTCCGCCCAAGCCTGCTATTCCATCGAAGCCTCCGAAAATTGCTGAGAAATTGCGAAAGAAGGTCCAACAAGATGAGGACGAGGAAGAGCGCATTGATGTGCGATCAATTGCAGCAAGATTTGAAAACTCGAAAAAATAATGCATAATTCTGCCAGATTTCAATAACCTTTCACATTTACACATTCCACTTCTTTTTTTCTTTTCAACTTTATGAGTTTTATTCCTCCATATTGCCTGTGAATCGACCAACTGCTTTCATATTGTCATCGGACGCAAAACCCGTGATCATTTATTCCGAAGAAATTAGTCATCAAAAACTATCATCAAATCATGCTACGACAATTATTATTATTATAAGATATTAAGGCCCGCATAAAATCTGCATTGCTGCTTTGATTTATGTTACATTTTGGTTAATTGAGTTTCAGCAACTGCCGTCCATTCTAAATTAGTTGTTGGTGACGTCGAAATAGATTGATCTTATTATTCGCAACACGATTATCTGTTTTGATTAGCGAGGAAGCGTCGCGTTGAATTGAAATCGGCGAAATTCAATTGTTTTCGCGACTATTCTTTGTACTATGAAAGCTTCGAAAATGTAAGTCAGTTTAATGCATAATAAAAAAAATCATATAAATCTCTATTAATTTCAAGTCGGTGACCCCAAGTCATCATTTCGAGAAAATTTTCTATAAGCCATTCCAGCTCAAAATGTATAACAACATTGCATTCACACTATTTTATTGAATAACGCATTTTTAAGTAGTTGATAGTTTTCAGATTGTGTGGATTTTTCTGTTCCTAATCTTGAATGCGCCCATAAATTCATTTTGTGAATTTCTGTACCGAAAAAAGACGACTCATTTATCGAAAAAATGCTCTTTTCCTTCATAGTGGGCGTTCTCGTCGTTTTTAAATTGAGTGAACATTCATGAATAGATTATCGGTGCATAATTTTCAAACCATTGTTTGTAATGCGAAAACCAATCTAAAGATAACGATCACAAATTTTATGTCAAATTTAGAATTGATGTGCGTGATGATAACCATCAACCCCGCACTTCCGGTTTCCGGTTTAAAAGCATCTCTTTCAGAACATTGTTTCCTCTTTTTATTCGTGACGAATTATTTTGGAACGTTTGAGAAGAGATAGATTATTGGTCGGAAGTTGAGCGAACATAGTTTTATTGGTAAAAAAAAATAAATGTGGAGAGAGACAAGAGTTTTGCGCTTCGTCGCGATACTTACCGAAAAAATGAATGGTGGTCCAACGACATGAGGTCAAACTATTAATAAGTTTGATTTCTCATAGAGCATCTGTTTTCCTTCTCACACTTCAGCGGTTATTTTTGAAAAGCATAAGAAGCCAACAACTTTTTCAAATTCGAAAATTCATGTTGGATTCTCAGCCACTTGCAATTGTCATAATTTACGAGAATATGATATATTCCACAAAACGATAACAACAAACACATTTCAAACGGAATTGTCACAATTAAATGTGATAATTGAAATTCAAATTCTTTGATTGTTAAACAAACGTTTTTGATTGCTTTTAACTCACATATTGTATGCTACAATTCTATTCTCTTTACGAAAAAAAATAAATTGTGTTTCGTAAAATTCATAGAAACTTTGAATTTATGTCAAAGATCTTATCAATTCTCATATACATATGACCTAGAAATTCAGCGATTTATGCCACGTGAACAAAAATACACCCCAAATATTGTTATCTACATTAAATCAGCTTTATAATAGAATTTCTAGTTGAACCCTCATTTTTTTCTTTTTTCTGTTTTGAATTTTTATCCGATAAGTGTGATATTTCGCTAACATTTGAACGGTGGGCAAACTATAATATGCCCCTTTGAATGTTGCCAACATCATATACATTTCCCGAATCCGAATTGCTGCTGTTGCCTCCCATTCCACAAACATGTTGACATTCCACCCACATTTTCCGGTGTTCAACGTATGCTCACACAGGTATGAACATAATTGGCGTTACGCCAAACGACTTTCCCTGATATTTTGGTTTTTTTTTCGTTTTCGACACGCTCACGTCGGCCCCGTCCAACCATTAACGTCATGAATATTAATTTTGGTTCAAAATTTCGGCGCAGCAGTTACTCATCCCCCCTGAGAATTTGAAAACTTGTTTTCATCGAATATTTTCGATATCGCGCTAATTGATGAGGCACACCTGCGTAAGCATTTAATTACAAAAATTAATTAGAAAGTACACCCAGCATCACGTTATATCATACCTATTTTTGCAAATAATAGGTTTGGCAAGTTGAAATCACTTGTGTGTGAAGTCGGACGAGAACTATTGCCATTGACGTCAAGTTTTCGATAATTTCTGGTGGGGCGGAATATTTGGCTGTAGCGGCACGGAACTGTGAATTATTCGTGTCAAGACGCTTAAATGCGTTTATTATAATTCAAAATGAGTGTAAATAAAAAATCTAACAATTCAAACAAATCAGAAAATTTCATCTCAACAGTTTTCATATATTGTATGACAGAGCTTCTAGGTCAGAAAGCAATACTAGATACTTGATCGAGAAATCTAATGCCTCATTAGCAGCACATGGATAGAGAATATCTGATTACGGATTGGAATTGAAATTTTTTAATCGCATTTGCTGGATGGTATTTAGTTTAATTTTTCGAAATTCCCCGCGTATTACTACAAAGTAAATTTTTGTCTACATTTATGAGAACTACCGTAGTTTCGGGCGATTCGATGCGGAAAGATTGTTGCAGACGGTAATTTCTTTTGCTCAAGGTGAAATCCTGACATTTCGTCAGACAATTTAAAATATGGGTGGTCCCAATTTTGTCCTACCAACCCATTTTCTGAATTCTATTGTCTGCATCAAGGACGAAAACCATTTATTACAGTAGCGCGAGTCGTTGCGATTCAATTTCAAACATGAATTTGAAAACTGGTTTGTCAAGAATTTATTTTATTTCGCTCATCGGGTTTTGCCGAATAGAAGAACTTACTAGAAAACGAAATACAAATGTTTTATTCATATCATCCAAGGCCGTAAAACAATGAAAATATGAACATATTCAAATCTAATATTTTAATTTTCCACAGCTTAGTTCGTCAACCCATTTTAGCAAACTTTGCTGCCCACATAATTGAGTAACGAGCAAATAAGGCGGTAATGATATGTTTTGGGCCCACGTGTGATATTCTAAACAACATTAAATATGTCATTTCGAGCTCTTGCGTAATCCATTATTCCAATGTATCAACTATCGTTCTACGAGGGTAACTATCAATTATAAAATTTTGTGCGTTTTAAACTGCGCAGTAGTCTTTTTGAACGTTATAATCCCAACAACGTTATGAAATGGGTTTTATTTCGGAAAACAACTGCTGGAAGACATTTAGAAAAACACCTGTAGTATTTCTTTCAAACGAAAATTGGTAGGAAAAGTGGTGTCATGCTATACGAAAACAGCTATTTTTTATGGAATAACACAGTTGAATAATTAGTTGCAATTTACAATAAATCTTCATATTCTGATCGTTTTTCTAGAACTGTTTTTCTTATCTGTTTATTATAAAAGTGCAACCGGATTCTGATATGATTTGTTATGATTTTTATATTTCTGCGAGATGAATTCTAAATTGCCAATAATGTTCGATAGTAAATATTTTCTAAAAATATCGATGTCTTCTGCCGAATTTTATCGGCCGTCTCATCTTCAAATTCGGCGGCTTCGAACAGCATCGAAAATATGGTTCTTATTAATGGTTCTTCTGGGTGGCGCAACTCATTCTGATTTATGAGCAAAAGGACCATTCCATTCTCTCAAGCCATACGTTGCAATAATTCTACTTCTCCTTCCTTTACTTAGAATAAATAGCGGCTAATCCCACTTGTAATTCCTATGAAACCAATTAGTCCATTTTTGCACTTTCTTTGTTTTTTTTTTAGATGATTTCATTGAGATTTTTTTTAACATTCCATCAGTTCTCAACGTTGGGCACACTGCTGTTGTTGCTCAACTCGCGCCAATTAGAGGCATCCGCAATAAAAACGCGAGGGGTGGAGCTCAAGTGCTGATTTCGTGAATATACCCGCCCATTATTTCGGGCAGCCGCTTTCAACAAAAATTATTCAGTTCGAACATTTGCAATGCCTCTTACACTTTATGAGACCTCCAGTCTGATTTAGTCGTAAGCCTTGCTCGGTGTCTATTTATATTTATAGCTCCTACAACTCAAACATTCTATTCAGTTCAGAATAAATGGGATTTCTATTCCAGTTGGCAGCAGTATTATTATCAGTTGAAACATTCATATCTTGCAGAATTCCACGAATGCCGATGATGAGCGCATCGACTATGATCGTTTTTGTGGTGCTGGTATCGCTGGAAGAGCGACTGTGCGTACGAACCGACGAGGACCTTATTAAGATCGTTGAGAAAGCCTGCACTAACAACAATCGGCTGTGTCCGAAACCAGGTAGCTTTTACTATACATAGTCGCATTGTTTAAAAAATCCGAATTTTGAGAATATTACACTTTCTCGGAAGACGGTGACTTTTCATGGAACAAAGAACGATTGCTTGGGTCTTCTCAAATAAATTTATTTCGGAAGACGTTTTTAGCGGAACAGATCCTGATTCCAGCCCTTCGAGTATGTCATACAATTAGTTTTCATCATCATCTTTGGCAAAATTCTTTTAGTCGACTTTCTGTTGCGTCGAGGGTCAATGCCTTCTCAGATGCGGTCTTCAGCCACAAAAAGAATCCGAACTGGTTGCGAACTTTCCTAATAACGCCCGAAAGCTTCTTGCATTGAACTATGAGCCGTTCAAAGTGAGAAACAAATCATCATCATACCAGCAATTCGTATCATTTTCAGCCTCATCATAAAAATCTGATTCAATATTTGGAAGATCTAAGATCCGGAAATGAAACATTAGGACAATATCCTGCCGAGATTGAAGACTTCCTTGATGTTTTGCATGAGCATACTCACATCGTGAAGCCGCTTCTCGACGAGAAGGAAAACGTCTCTTGACTCTAAATTGTGTTTAGGCTAACAGTATTTTGTAATTAATATTTGTACACCGACTATAATATTTTAAATTCCTATTAGATTAATGGAAATGTTTTGGATCTCAATTATCGATCTCTATCAAATGTTTCAACCTCCTTTCCTGTTATCATTCCGTTCCTTGAAATCATCATTATTTTAATTCGAAAATATGTCTACGAGTTATTGTGTTTATTTATTTTTCTCTTTTTTTTTAATATTTTGCTTATTGTATTGTTTCTACGCTTTTATTGTCTATTTTTTGAATTATTTTTGTATTTATTCTTGTGTTAATATTTATTTTTTTTCACTTGGATATATTTATCGTATTTTGAGTGATTATTTTTTTCAATAAAATTTGGCAACAAATTCAATGTGCAATGTTGGCCCGTAGAGAATGAGTGAAAAGAAACTACTGAATGTGGAAGAAGTTGGTTCAAAATAAGATACAACTTTGAAAAATGACTTTGAAGCACCAGTAAAAATTTTAGATTGACTGGTGCTTAAATTTACTACGTTTCTTTTCGATGAGGCACCAATTTTGTAAATTTAAATATGGTTGTTGTAAAACTCTGAGATGACAGTTCTTGAGAATTTACTATGATTCAGAATTTACTGATGTTTGGAATTCCTATTATTTCAGATTAGAATGATTTCATTTCAGGTCTTCGCAATTGCTGCTCAGTAAACATGAATGATATTCGACCATGCAGGATTATAAGATGCCCTGAAATACTGTGGTAAAGATTTCATTATCAGAGCACATGAATCACACATAGCTAATGCCCAGATTATAACAATCCATATGGAATAAATAACAAAACACGTGATTCACACGTTTTGTGTAGTTTGAAGAACTATAAAAAGCAAGAATGGAGAGAATAGTAATGCGAGATAAAAAATTTTCCACATTTTAACTAAAACCACTAGACGCTAGAATATGTTTCATTCTGTCTTCATAATTAAAGTAATTGTGAAAATATCCATAAAAATTTGCTTTTATTCTCACATTTTTACAGTGTTTCAATGAAACTTCAACAAATTTCCGCTTAAGATTAGCCGGATTACTCGGTGTGCTCGGATTAGCCAATGTCAACAAATTTAGGCATGTATTAGTAACACTAGATATTGATATGTGGTGTCACAGTGATAAAGACAAAATGAAAATTGCGTACTAGGATTAACAAATAACCTCTTGGAGTTTAAATTTTGTAGTCTTCCCACCGAATTTAAATATTCTATTAAAAATTACAGTAGGATTACTAATTTTAGCAGACGTAAATTGAAAGAATTGCAGAGAAATCACCTGGAAACTGAATTTTGACGAAAAAAACAACTGTCTTTTTTCCAACCAAAGCCAAAGCATCAAGAAAACAATTCATCCAACAAAACGTGGAAAAATTACTGGAATTAATGCGATCTCCATTATTGTCTGATATGGAATATTCGAAAAATAATAAAGAGTAAAGAATTCACTGTTATGGATCTATTTAGTTTTTGCAAAATTGTCGAATTTACCATTTTTTTCCTGAGAAATCACGTAAAATTTAACGTAAAAACGTGACCATTTTGTTTACTATGCATGACACTGAAACGGTCAATTGGTTATTTTTTAACATTTAAGATCACATTTACACTTTCACGCGTTTCGCTGAAAATATCAAATTCGAAATTATAAAATTCAGTTTCTCACACAAAAAAAGCATTGAAAAATGCTGAGTTTGCCAAATATCGGCTGAACTGGCAATTATCTTCTTCATATCTTGGCGTGACATGCCTTTCTCAACCTATTCCTCTTATCTCTCTCCCGTTTCCCATTGGCGGGAACGAAACTACATTGTAGACTGATATGACCTAATCACTACGACAATTCTCTTACGAAAACAGTTCTCACAGTTGTTTTTACTTAATATTTCTTCTTACGTTCTCTGTTTGAAATTATCTGTATAAGCATTTTCAGAATGGACGGCACAATTCGAGCATCACAGTTAACACCAGCAACAAGCAGCGAAAAACTACCGTCCGTTTTCAACATCCTTGCGCAGGAGAATCTTGCATCGTCTATTCGTCCTGCGTTTCAGCATCTCGTTAAAGTATTTTAGCATATACCTTAACGATATTTATTTGCTTTGTTTTCAGTATTTGGCTCTTTTTAAACCACAAACATTCCAAAGTGCTCATAGGAATTTTGACGAATTGTATATGGTTTTCGATCTTCTTCTTCAATATTATTTTCTTAAAAATTATGGTAGGAATATAATATATGTGTTTTATGAATTTATAATTTTTAAGGAGGAACGTTCACCGAAAATTTTTATTCAATGAAGCGTGTTTCTCAAGAAACTGGTGAAATAATACAAGATACGCGAGATATACTTCGAACATTGTTTATTGAATCTATTGTTCCATACCTTGAACGTAAACTAAACAATCTCTACGAAAAGATCAAAGAAGTCTACGAGTTTCGTACATGGAGAAGTATCAAGGTATCAATATTAATTATTCTATTTTTCCATTATCAGTATTCCGGTTTGCTGATAAGAACAATATGAATTAATCCATTGCAAGCGATTAAGTTCCCAACTAGTCGTTTCTGACGAATACATAAATAGGGAAACGTCATTTTGATCTTGAAATTCAATATGCATATCTAACAGTGAACTAATAGCTCCGGGTGGGCGTTTATTGACAATAGCGAGAGAAGAAAAACGTTCCGAGAAAACTTTGAAATTGAGGGAAATATTTGTGAGATTTCATGTTTCTAATTTGTTTAGACGTAAGCTTCAGCCGGCTTACGTGCGAATTTGCTTTGAATTTCTCCGACATAAAAATATTGAAAATTTATTGAAGAGATTCCTTCAAATTAAATTTGAGCATTTCGCTTTTAGGACATTCACTCGGGCTTGTTGAAAAGTTTCGTGTTCCTCTGGCCGCATTTGAAGACCATTCTTGGCGCAGTGAAGGCACTATTCCAATTAGGGTAATTTTCGAGTTAGTTGGTTTTATTCATGATTTCTTACATTATAGATACTTGACAAACCGAATCTCAGTTCATTCTCCGTGGATTCATTTTGCTAAAGTTTTTTTGAAAACACTGACGCCCGTTGACATTAATAGATTTAACACCGTTCCGTTGCATTTGCGCACCGGGTTCGAAACAAATTCAGAATAATGCCAATAATTTATCTTTAATTTAAGGTTTTTCAATCGAATTTGGAGATTTATTCTGGGACTTCCGGGTGTTTTAAGCCGGGTTTTTGCTTACGCGATGTTTTTTGTCCAATTTCTAAACCATATTTACAATACGGACCTGGGAGTTCTTTCTGGTGTTTCAGCTAAAACGAATATTCCGAAAGCTCCTCACAAATTTTTGCTGAGTGAGAACGAAGTGATGTGCTTGGATACCAACAAGTGTCCAATTTGCTTGAAGAAGCGAGTTAATGATACAGCATTATTTGTTTCCGGATACGTATTCTGCTACACGTGCATTAACCAGTACGTGAATACCCACAATAAGTAAGCGATTGTCATTTTCATTAAATCATTGCTATTGAGTTCAGGTGTCCCATAACTTCTCTTCCAGCAAATAACCATCACCTCATTCGTCTATTCGTGTAATATAAATGATTCATTTCTTCCGGATACCTAATTATTGAAAAATTCAATATACTCGTCATTTACAAGTATTTATAAGCCTTTCTTGTGTAATTTTCGCTCTTTGAGTCATCAAGTATTTGAAGAATCAGCAATATATTTGTACGTTCAATATAGAATTTTGCGCTTAATAATTGCTCACGAGAATGTTCTAATTAAATTATTTTGTGTCATTCATCTCGTGCGCTAACAAAACGCGTTATTTTTAAAACAAGTTTTCAACGAAATCGGTACCCTTGGGAACTACCGTACATCGAAATCAATTAATATTTTGATGTCATACGTGTGGTTTGAAAATATGAATGAAAAATCGGATATGAGGGGTTTTCGAGCCCATCTATTGCAAAAAAATGAGTCGTGTTAATTTTGAGATAAAAAAAAATAAGCGGCGTCGTTAATCGGTAAATCGTTGTCGGACGCCGTCTTTAAAACTATATAGAATTTATATAATTCAAATTTTGCAAATAACTTTCAACATTGTCACCTTTTTTCAGAAAAAAAAAAATAATCAACAATTTTTTGATGAATAAATTCGTTTAAAAAGTTTTATTTTTGTTTTTTAATTGTTGAAAACTTGCACAAATCGCATTTAGGCAAAAAGGTCCACCAGCGACAACTTTTTCTATTTTTGTCAGAAAACACCAATTATGTTTTTTTATAAACACACAATTTCAACATATTTACCAGGTAATACATGCGAAACCTAGGCGTAATGCACCTTGCGTTCGTATAAATTAAAGATATTAATGTCAACAACATTTTCATACAAACAGAATACATTTTTCCGTACTTAATATTGGTTTGATTTTTCTATTATCGGTGTGAAAAAATAAATAAATTTATTTATAAAACCTCAAAAACCGTATAGAAAAAACTGCGAAAATTGCAATAAAAAAATCATATTTATTAAATATTTCGATAATGTTGAGAAATATGAACATTTTTTATTTAAATTTACTTCAAGATAATATTGATAAAATAAATTGATCAGCAAGATGCAATGGAAATAAAAATAATAAGAATCTTAGTACAGTTTTAGACATCTCGTTTTTTTTGGTAAAATTAATATTCGTAAATCCGGATAGTCCATTCATACGAGAGGTAAGAAATCAATAAATTTTTAGCAATAATCTGAAATCACCGGTAGTGTTGATATTTGGGTAATCACATCACTTTGTTCTCGCTCAGTAAAAAAATGTGAAAAGCTTTCGGCACCAAGAAAAACCATCGCGTAAGCAAAAAAACCGCTCAAAATACCACTGCATTTCCAGAATAAATCTCCAAATTCCATTGAAAAACCTTAAAATATAGATAAATTGTTGGCATTATTTTGAATTTGATTCGAACCCAGTGTCAAAATGCAACGGAATCGTATTAAATTCATCATCAACGAATTTCAGTGCTATCATAACAAAATAAATCGGAGAATGAACTGAGATTTGGTTTGTCAAGTAACTATAATGTAAGAAATCATGAATAAAACCAACCAACTCGAAAATTACCCTAATTGTAATAGTGCCTTCACTGCGCCAATGGTCTTCAAACACGACCGGAAGAACACGGAACGTTTAAACAAAACCGACAGAATGTCCTAAAAGCGAAATGCTCAAATTTGATTTGAAGAAATCTCTTCACTAAATTTTCAATATTTTTATGTCGGAGAAGTTGTTAACTTAATCGCTTGCAATGGATTAATTCATATTTTTCTTATCAGCAAACCGGAATACCGAAAATGGAAACATAGCATAATTAATATTGATACCTTGATGCTTTTCCATGTACGGAACTCAAAGACTTCCTTGATCTTATCGTTGAGATTGCTTAGTTTACATATATCTCGAGTATCTTGTATCATTTCACCAGTTTCTTGAGAAACATGCTTCATTGAATAAAAATTTTCGGTGGAAGGTCCTTCTTAAAAATTATAAATTCATAAAACACAAGTATATTATATCCCTACCATAACTTTTAGGAAAATAATATTGAAGAAGAAAATCGAAAGCCATATACAATTTGTCAAATGTTTGAGGTTTAAAAAGAGCCAAATACTAAAAACAAAGCAAATAAACAAGTTACGAATAATGGTAAAATACTTTAACGAGATGCTGAAACGCATGACGAATAGACGATGCATTTTCCTGCGCAAGAATATTTAAAAAGGACCACAGTTTTTCGCTGCTCATTGTTGGTTAACTGCGATGCTTGAATTTTGCTGTTCATTCTAAAAATGCTTATATAGGTGATTTCATACAGAGAACGTGAGAAGAAATATTAAGTAAAAACAACCGTGAGAACTGTTTTCGTAAGAGAATTGACGTAGTGGTTAGGTCATATCAGTCTACAATGTAGTTTCGTTCCCACCAATGGGAAACGGGAGAGAGATAAGAGGAAAAAAAAGTGTAAATGTGATCTTAAATGTTAATAAAAAACCAATTGACCGTTTTAGTGTCATGCATAGTAAACGAAATAGTCATTTTTACGTTAAATTTTACGTGATTTCTCAGGGAAAAATGGTAAATTCGACAATTTTGAAAAAACTAAATAGATCCATAACAGTGAATTCTTTACTCTTTATTATTTTTCGAATATTCCATATTAGGCAATACTGGAGATCGCATTAATCCCAGTAATTTTTTCCACGTTTTGTTGGATGAATTGTTTTCTTGATGCTTTGGCTTTCGTTGGAAAAAAGACAATTGTTCTTTTTTCGTCAAAGTTCAGTTTCCAGGTGATTTCTCTGCAATTCTTTCAATTTACGTCTGCTAAAATTAGTAATCCTACTGTAATTTTTAATATAATAATCAAATACCAATAATGTAAAAAAAGAATAAATGTTGAAAAAAAAAACAAAGAAAAAGTGATATATTAATATTTTTTTACTATTTTACGCAATGAAATATCGAATTTGTTGATGGGAAAATAAGATTAATTTCTTTAGAAAAAAAAGAAAAATATCACAATATATTAAAAATGTTTTTTTTTCCGAAATGTAGCTTCTGTGAACTCATATAGAAACGAGGATGATGTTCCAATCTCCCTCCTAAAAAATCTTATGTTCATCGTCGTATCTTTGCAAAGCTTAATATGCTGTCGGTACATCGTTGAATTCGTACCAAGTCAGCACTGTATCATGCCCAAATTTCAGCAGCAGACATCACCACCGGCAGGATGTGGTGTTTGGAAAGCGACACCCATTCTTTCACCATAGCCAGGTGTTCTATAAATGGGCGATTTGAAGGCGGCCCAGCTGGAGTTATTCTTTCAGTAGATTTTTGTAATTTTTTTAAAATTTAATTTTGATAGGTTAGTTACAAAAAAAAACTTATCTGATATACATTTTTTTAGGAACTAAATGGGATACAACAGAAATCAAAGAAGAATCAATAAGAATTGATCAGCGTATGAAAAGTTTCTATGATGAAACCCATTCAACAATTATTGTATTGACGGTTTCTTGGAAAATAATTTTGGTGCAAATGTGTGTAGCCTCACTAGGCGCAATATTTACAGGAATTCTGTTTCTATCATTGTACGTAAATTATTGTGCTGAAAACATCAAAACATTTAGGACGTTATATTTCATTGAAAATGTACAGGGTGTCATTTAAGTTCCCGCACAAAAGTTTGACGCCATGAAGAGCTTGGCTGTCGCACTTTTCGTGCACCAATACAATTTATTTTTGTTAAATAAGGTATATTTTACTTACTTTCCAAGTTTCACCTCATTCGGATGTGTTTCCGAGAAATGGCGAAGGCTAACATCCATTGCGCTTCCATTATCGAACTTCATAAGCAAAATGTGAGCTCGAGAGACATCATTCAACGGGTCGGTGTGCCTCGTAGAACGGTTTGCGACACCATCAAACGTTTCAAGGAGCTAAATACGACCAGTCACCGTCCCAGACAAGGAAGACTCGTCTCAGTAACCACTCCTCAGAAGATCAACGCCGTCAAATCGAGGATCAGGCGAAACCCCCACAGGAGCATGAGAAAGATGGCGTTAGACATGGGAATGAGCATCTTCGCTATGGAACAAATTGTCAAAACGAAGCTTGGACTGACCCCATATCGTGTCCAAAAAGCGGCAATTCTATCGGCCGTCAGCAAGCAGAGACGCTTCGAAAAAGCAAAACGACTTCTTGCTCGCACGCGGTCTGGACAACACCTCGTCACTGTCTTCTCCGACGAGAAGCTGTTCACTGTGGAGACGGCATTCAACTCACAAAACCATTGAGTACTTGCCCAGACATCCCAGCAAGCTTCTGAGAAAAGAAGAACATATCATCCAGCCTCACATCCTGCCAGCATGATGGTTTTCGTTGCCATCTGCTCAACCGGGAAGTGCCCCCTGGTTTTCGCGGATCAGGGGGTGAAAGTGAACAAAGAAGTCTACGTTCGGGACATTTTGGAGAAGCATGTGATGCCCTGGACCCAAACGCATTTCGGTGGGCAGAAATGGGTCTTTCAACATGACGGAGCAGCCGCCCACACTGCCAAAACTACTCAGGAGTGGTGCCAGACCCATTTTCCCGACTTCATCAAGTCATCCGAATGGCCTGATTGCTCCCCAGACCTGAACCCGCTTGACTTTCCCGTGATGGGGTCTTGCAGGAGAAGGTCAACGCAAAACCCCATTCAAGTGTAGAGGCTCTGAAGAAGACATTACTGGCGGAATGGGACAATCTTTCCATCGAATACCTGCGTACCACAGTCGCATCCTACCCGAAGCGTTTCCGTGAAGTCATAGCTGCGAAAGGAGGCCGAATCAAAAAGAGTTAATAGATAAATATTTGTTATACTATAGATAAAAAATATTTTGAGTCTCGTTTGATTTGGACTTTTAGTTTCAGAAATATACGTCTTCAAAGTTGTGCGGGAACTTAAATGACACCCTGTACTTGCAAAAACAAAGAATTCTATTGATAAGAAATTGATAACGATATGCTTTCAAAATATTTCAACCT